CTTACTTGTTTACTAACGTCTGTTACTCCTCGTGGAGGAGCATAGGCCACCTATCAACACTCTCCATCTAACCCTGTTTTTTTTGGGGGGGGGGACTCCTTTCTAGTTGTTTCCAGTTGATACTCATTCTTTTCATATCTGATTCCATTTTCCGATGTAGGAGAAAATAGATATTGAATCTTTTTTTTTTCTGTACTACCGTAATTAACCTTCTTGGACAGTTTAAGCTTATCAGTATAGTAGTATTGAACGACTTATACAGACAGTATTTATTATAGTTTGATAGTTAATGAGGAAACTATTCAAAAATAACATCAGATTTTTATCCTAGTTTTATATACATTTTTGACAATTGACTCCTGTTTAAGTAACTAGTGTTCTTGTGTCAGAACAGGGTCAGAATGCTATGAGACTACATTGTTTCGATTTAGTATAAGGTTTTGAAAATTGTTGAGTTTCATTGAAATCATAAACCGATCAATATTAGATAACCGTTAGAAACCTGGAAGAACTGGATACCTATTTCGTCTTAATATGGGATACTTCGGCAGTACATATCCTGCGTTCTTCCAGGTTTTCAATGGTTGTCTAACATGGATTAGTTTATGATTTCAGTGATATTGTTTACTATTCCATGCTTGAAATTTTATAAAAAGATAACACTTTAATAATATATATAATTTTAGTTACTCAACCACTGAAAAAGAATAATCACTGGATGATTGTTTTGTTCAAGAATACTGTCCATCATTAATGCATACAAATGACCCTACCAGGAGCTGAACTAGCGATACTCAGAACTCACATTAAGGGTGGGATTTTTAAACTCATTAGTTAGTATCTAATGATGGTCATTTCTAACTTAGACGCTAATTCAGTTGTCCGTAAGTCACTTGTTAACGTTAATACATGAAGATTCTAGATTCAATCTCCGGGAAGTTTGTGAATGTACACTGCCCATAAATCTCATATCTGAACAAAGCAATAGTCTTGTATTATCCATTTTTCAGTGTTTGTCTAGTGAAAGCCAATATATAATAGAAAGTGTACAATACATACTTGTCTGTACCTAGAAATTTAGATTTTTAACTTTAGTCCATTTATCATATACCGCATGATTATTATTCAAGATCATTTAGGATAAATATTTTAACATTAACATATTTGAAGGAGTTTTTGTGGATATTATAGTAATTTCAATAGTTGAGATGATAAGTCAATTAAAGCTAGATCACCATGGAAAACCTGGAAGCACTGGATGGCCATCTTGTTCAATTTTGGGACTCCTCAGAGATGCGCATCCATATAACATATTTACTTCCAGGTTTTCCATGATGGTCTAGCTTTAATTGACTCACGATCTCAACTATTAAAATTACTATGATGTCCACAAAAACTCCTTTTGATATTAATCAACATATGCTCACTAGTGACGGTCTCCAAGAGGTATTTCCTGGAGTTCACATGATCTCAACTATTGAAATTACTATAATATCCACAAAACCTCCTTCTAATATTTGATCTCTATACATCGAATTGATATTTATAAATAATGTAACCAAATATGAGCTAACAGTTGATTATAATATTAATTATGCATATTATTATTATTATTATTATTATTATTATTATTATTATCATAAACATAATCTTTGTTAGAGATGAAGTTCAATGATGTACATGTTAAATGAATAGTTTCTATACTAAAATTTATTCATAATAATATGGGATAGATGTTTATCAGTTTTTTTAATGTAAATCATTACATCATAGCCTAGTTGAAACTTTCATTACAGCAATATATTACGCAATAAATAATATGATCATTCATGATTAAGCACGTTTAACATTTATTTTAAGTAAATATTGGTTTATATAAAATATAATAATAATAATTTTGAGTAGATTAATTTAATCTATAAGTAGTATTCATCATGAATTTGGTAGTTAATCTGATAGTTTAATTGTTAGAAACCCGTTAAATAAGTTGTAAGCAATGTGTTCGATCGATGGATGGGTCGTAAATGTATGTTGTTAGACAATTGCGTAGTATGACGAAACATCTATCCAATGAAAACATTATCATTATGATATTATTTAATTCATTAAAGTATTGTATAAAGAAGTATACATCGTTTGTAAATGGTTATTAACACAATGTGATATCTAATACAAAGAAAAGTAATGGAAACTAAAGTGCACTGGAAACTATAAGTATTTTAGTTTATAAAGCTCATTCTTTCATACTAAACTTCTTATTACTGATTACATCACACAAGTACGATATAAGCGACTATATTTTAAGGAGACTAGCTTCGTGAGGGAATTCTCGGAGTTCTAGTGAGAAGCCGTGACCAGCGGAGCTAATCCGTGTCGGGTAGAGACAGGTATCTACCTCAGTACAATGGAAGATGGTGGCGCAATTTCATGGGTTCGTTGATGTTAGACAGTGGTCCAGTAGGTTAAGTGTTCGCGCGCGAGATTGAAGGCCCTGAGTTCGAATCCCGCGAGCGAGATTGTGGATGCGCACTGCTGAGGAGTCCCATACTAGGACGAAACGGCCATCCAGTGCTTTCAGTTTTCCAACGGTGGTCTAACATCAGTCAATTCATGATCTCAATCAAAAAATAATAATGGAACACAGAAAATTTAATTACTTACTAACTTACGTCTATTACCACTCCTGAAAGAACAAGGGCCGCTCACCATCATCCTTCATCCAACTCTGTCCTAATAAATTTTTTCCAGTTATTTCCAAGTGCCATTCATTCCTCTGATGTCTCTCTAGTTCCCGACACAGTGTATTCTTTGGTCTACCACTTTTCCGTTTCCATTCAGGATTCCAAATTAGCATTTGCCTTGCGATACAGTTTGATTTTCACAATGTATTTCCTGTGCACATCCAAAGTCTTTTTTTAATTTCCTCTTCAGTTGTAAGCTGGTTTGTTCTTTCATACAGTACATTGTTGTTGATGATATCCGACCAACAGACATCCAGTATTTTGTATGGATAATTGTTTATAAATACTTGTACCTTTTTGATGAGGGTTGAATTAGTTCTGGAAGTTTTAGCTGCATACAACAGAACTAACTGTGTTGACGTTCGTCCTGAAGATTGCGAACTTGATGTTGGTTTGTGGACAGTTTTTTCAAGTTACATATGTCCTTCAACTGTATGAATGTTGTCCTTACTTTGCCACTCCTCTCCTTCACGTTTGCATCAGATCCTCCCTGTTTATTGATGATGGTATCCAAGTGTGTGAAAGTTTGCACCTCATCCAGAGCTCCTTCGACAGAAAATGTACTTTGATTTATTTAAATCAAATCATTTGAATACAACTGGACTTTTTATTAATCGTTGATTTTATCCTTAAAATCCAGATTTTGTAACTATCTGCTTAAATAGTAAATTTCATTTGTCAAGTTACTGTGATAAATCAATAGCAGAGTTTACAAGTTATAAAAACCGATTGTAATTCACCAAGGCAAATGATCTATGTCAAATGATTGTAGACCTACTCGAGTTAGACGGGAATGGTGTAACGAAACAGCTAAATTCAAAGTCACACCTTGCAGTTAACATCTGACGTGCATCATCCCTTCGACGTATCAAAGTACTATGGCCGTTTTGAAGACTTTATAACACAAAAAACGTTATTACAAAAATATATTAGTTCAAGTAGATATAAGCTAAAGTAACAACACTACCACATGGATAAATCCATAGCATACGACTAACTGACGAGCGCTGGTTGTCCTGAACCTTGATGAAGATCGATGTTTTGTTCGATACTCAGTAATCCAACTACTGGATGATTTGACTACAGCTCAGTGACATTTTACTGACCCTACACGATTATCAGATAATCAATGATGGATGGGCCATCATCCATATTTGCTTATAATACTTGTAACTTATCAAGACAATCCTCATGGGATGCATCTATGTCAACAAGAAACTGATCCATTACCGTTCTGAACATCTTACTTACTTACGCCTGTTACTCCCAATGGAGCATACGCCGCCGAACAGCATTCTACAACCCACTCTGTCCTGGGCCTTCTTTTCTAGTTCCATCCTTTTCTTGTTCATTCTTCTCAAGCCCGTCTCCATTTCTCGGCGTAATGTGTTCTTTGGTCTTCTTCTTCTCCTCCTCCTTTGGCCTTGAGGATTCCATATGAGGGCTTGTCTTGTGACACCGTTCGGTGCTTTCCTCAATGTCCGTCCTATCCACTTCCAGTACTTCTCCCTGATTTCTTCCTCCGCTTGAATCTGGTCATTGCCTCACACAGTAGGTTGTTGCTGATAGTATCTGGCCAACGAATCCGAAGCATTTTGCGTAGACAACTGTTAATAAACACTTGTATCTTGTTGATGATGGCTTTCGTTTTTCTCCAAGTTTCCATTCCATACAATCAAACTGTTTTGATATTTGTATTGAAAATTCTGACCTTGGTGTTGGTTAACAGACAGTTGTTTAGGGTTCATGATGTTCTTCAATTGTAAATATGCTGCTCTTGCTTTGCTGATCTGAGCCTTCACATCTGCATCCGATCCATCGTGTTCATCAATGATGCTGCCCAAATATGTAAAGGTTTGTACATCTTCCAAATCTTGTGATTGGATTGGTACATGCCGTGTTGTATCGGAGAATCTTGTTTTTCCGTTTGTGTATATTGAGACCTATTGTTGCTGAGGTTGCTACTATACTAGTCGTCCTCTTCTGCATTTGTTGTTGTGTTTGCGATAGAAGAGCCAGATCATCTGCGAAGTCTAGATCATCCAACTGCATCCTAGATGTTCACTGTATCGTTCTAAATATCAATGGGAAGAATGTATTGAATATATATATATATATATATATATATATATATATATATATATATATATATATATATATATATATATATATATATATATATATAGAATACTTAATATATAACTTTACTTATAAATAACAATGTTATTATTGTTTCATCTTTTAATTCTATTCATTTAGATAACCTGTATTCCACAAGAATCCTTTAATCAAAATCAATTACAAACTACTAATTTAACAATCAATGAATTTCATTGTTCTGATATTCATTCAGAAAATTTAAAATTAACAACAAAATCAATGGATTCTTATGATAATAAAGGTACTTTATTGATTCATTCAACATCATCATCTTCATCATCACCATCTTTATCATTTAATAGACCTAAATCATCATCACCATTATCATTATATGATGATACAAATCGTATTCTATTTAATGATTTATTAAATCCTAATGAATATTGTATACAAACAATAGACAATAATGTTACAAATAAATTATATCCAATAAAATCATCATATGAATTAAAGAATAAATTCAATCGATTTATTACCAATATTAATGATAATGATAATCATTGTATCCATGATGATCATATAGATGATAATGACACTGATCATGATGATGTTGATGATGATGATAATGATGATGATGAGAATCATGAAAATAAGGAACAAACAAAATGTTATAATTCAATGGAACTATCAGAAAAATCTTATTCACATTTAACTATTTATAAATCTATTGACAAACAATCTGATTATGAAACTAAAGAATGTGATACATTATATTTAAATGAGATAACTGATAAAAATCATCCTTCTGCTCCACCACCACCACCACCACCTCAGGATCAACATCACCATCATCATCATCATCAGCAGCAGCATCATGATGATCATGATCACCCAACTTACTATTCACCTAATCATGAATTAACAGATATGATGCCATTAACAAAAAAATCTAGAATTTCTTCTTCAAATGATTTGAATTGTATAAATTCATTAATAGAAAAATCAGATAATGATTTAAATCAATCTAAATTACATCATCTAGATGATACAATTATATCGACGACGACTACTACTACTACTACTGCTACTGCTACATCTATGTGTACACCATCTATAACAACTTCGTCTACATCATTATTTCATTCTATAGAATTTGGAATTAATAGTAATAATAATAATAATAATAATAATAATACATTTACATCAAATGAAATAATTCATAATAAAAAACAAGAGAATAATTTCTCTATAAATGAATCAAATGATAATAATCATTTACAACAAAATTCTGATTATAAATTTACAGGATTTCGGCCTCGTTTTCAATATCCTCATCAATATCATTTAAATTATCAAAATAATAATCATAATACTAGTAATAATACTATTGATCAACATCAATCATCTTATCAATTGAATAGTTTACAATTAAATCATAATGATACTATTTGTCAAACTACATCACCTTTACATAATTATTTTTCATCATTTTCATTTAATCGTTTACCATGTTATAATGATTATATGAATATTCATTCTAAAGTTACAGAACAATTTGATATAAATAATAATAATGAAATGTTACATCATTCTATATTGAATCAGGAAAATGTTATTGATTATTTACATAAATCAAATATGAATACAAGTTTATTATCGAATAATAGTAATGATAATTTTAGTAATAATAATAATACTACTAATAATGGTTTAACTAATACACACAGGAATTCATTACATATTAGTAGTATTAGTAATAATAATAATAATGATAATGCTATTGCTACAGCTACTGGAGAACATTTATTAAATGGTCGACATCCAATACCTTCATTTCATTCATCTCTTCTTACTACAATTAATGAAAATAATAATAATAATAATAATAATAATAATAATCCTATAACATTTCCCTCTGCAATATCTAATTTATCATCAAATCAAACAAGTCCATTAACAGCGTCATCGTATACAAGAAATTTAAATGATTGTGGAGAGAATCTATCAAAATTAAGTAATTTAAATTGGACATCAAATAATACATCATCTCATCCTTATAGAGGGCAAATAGGGTAAGTAATGATCAGTGGAATTATTATTATTATTATTATTATTATTATATACACTGTAACTATGAACATTCCAAATATGACCTTCTTGTAATATTTTATGTAAATCATCCATTCATTCATTTAAATTTGTAATTATGTATGATTGTAGTGCCTTAGCTTTGTTGATCAATCACCTTGATAATTGTTATTATATAAATTTCAAATGGTGTTTGAAATCAAAAGGTAATGAGAAGCGGTAACTATAATTTATTAACAGATTACATGGATAATAAAGTTATAAACACATCAAGTGAACTTGAAGCAGAGAGGCGAATGTGTGTGTGTGTGTGCTAGTGTGTGGCGTGGTGTCAAGTCGCGCTTGACTATGATCACCTCTACAAGGTTGTGTACTAGATATTAGAAGGTGGTTGGAGATTGTAGCGAAATATATTTGTTGGTGATTTCGTGGTATCGAAAGAATACCGAGGTAGTACCAAAGGAGTACAAGCGAAATCACTGAGCAAACCTAAGCGCGTACAAGGACACAATCAACGGAAGGAAGAATGTCTTTAGAAAAGTCAAACAAACAACTACAGTAAAACAATCCCTGGTACAACTGGTTATAATAATAATTGTTTCCATTACACCAATCGAAATATGTGTGTAGGCTGTCACATATGATCAAGACTACACGTTTCTTATAGATATAATAGTAAAAAAACTAAATGAATAGTTCTGTAAGGAAATATCAGTCATGAACAATTCTAGAGAAATTTTGTAAAGCCTATCATAACCTATGTTCCTTCATATAAATAATCAATTATTATGATAGACTAATTCTATGTTTTTTTATACACCGATTCATCTGTTGATGAGAAGTCAAGTATGTAGGTCTTTCAATGAAGCTTCTTTTTCCTCATATTCAAAGATAAGTAGAAGAAAGTATAGGTTGATTACATGAAGAAGATTCAAAACATTCATTGTTTGTTATTAGAAAGGAGGTTTTGTGGAAATTGTAGTAATTAATTAGTAATAATAATGGGTAACTTGGAAGCATTGGACATCCGTTTCATCCTAGTATGGGACTCCTCATTAGTGTGCTCTCGGTCACGGGATTCCAGCGAGATCATGTTTCCAGGTTTCTCATAGTGGTCTAGCTTTAATCGACTCATGAATTCAATTATTAAATTCATTTTCTTTTAGATTCTTTATTTAATATCATTTATAATATACAGTTTTATAAATGAATTCCTAAGAGTTGGACTATTTTATGACTCAATTTATTGTATAACATAAAATTAACAGACTATATGCTCACTAGTGGCGGTCTCCAAACAGTATTTCCTGGAGTTCTAGTGGGAAGCAGTGACCAGTGGAGTTCAACCGGGTCCGTTTTCAAATAGTAACTCACTGAAGACAATGATGGATGTGTCGCTCATTTTCATGGATTAGTTGAAGTTAGACATTAACACCGTTGGATGCCGGCTTAGACTGATAGATCCTGGGTTTAAATCTCACGAGATAGCGTCGTGGATGCAGACTATTGAGGAGCTCCACAATAGGACGAAATGGCCTTCCAGTACTTCCAGGTTTTTCATGGTGGTTTAGCTTCGATTGACTCATGGTCACAACCATTAAATTATTACAAACAGGTTCATTTGAAAAGTAAACAAGAAAATTACAAACATGTTATATTATTTAAAAAGAACCAATTTTTGATTTTTAGTGGATAGAACATTACTGTAGATTAGTATATTGAAAGTTGATGCAATCTGATATAAAATTTGATTACCCTAATGTCTTTCAGGTTTTAGATATTAGCAAACTTCGATTTTACTTATATATTCCATACTAACAACTGTGATATTTGTGACTGATTTATATAACATTTAGGGGTTATAATTCACTTGGTATTGTTTAACTTGAAATCAGTACTCAGTAAATAAGTAGATAACGCGATGGCGTTTGAAGCGAACGGTATTGGATTCTAGTCCCAGAGTAAACATCAACTCTGAGATACAGGCACATCCAGCTGACGAGTCCCAAATAGGACGAAACGCGCATCCTGGATTCCACTACTAGCCACCATCCATCTTTGCTTATATTTAGGGGTTATGTTTTGAATTTCTAACTAGTAAATTCCATTTTCTTAATTAGTAATATCAACTAGATTAAAAGACCACAGGGATCTATAATTTATATGAATTGCTTTTCTACGACAATTATATAAAGCGTATTGCCTATTTATGATCAATACATGCACTCAGTAATACAACACTGGATTCCAACTAGGCAACTGTACGACATTCAACATTTCTCTACTGATAAAGACAATTTCTTAAATTGTGAGTTGTTTTCCTAGCCCCACCCTCTTAAGGTAGAAAATAACCAATATATATATATATATATATATATATATATATATATATATATATATATATATCAATAGTTAACTAAATTTTGGGGAAATAGCATATTTGCGAGCTTGGTTACGTTATGTTTGAATTGTTCTTTCTTTCCTTGTTCCCAATAAATATAACTTTGTCTCATAAACCTTTATTAACTTCCAAACTTAGTTTTTAAAAAAATAACCCAGGAAATGTTGGTTATTAGGTCAAGATAGGATGGACCATACCAAAGTGTTCACCTTTGTACCTAATGATATGTAAGTATAGTAGTTGTATGATTATAGTTAGCATTACTGTAGATTGAGGAGAATAAATGAACAATATTTGTATACTTATTAGATAGCCTATAGGTTATTCAATAGATTTATCAATCAATTTAATATTATATTTTAAACTATTTTCTAAACAGAATCGATTATATGTGATTATTGGTAGGGATATGAATTACCCCATGATTAACATTATGGAGTAGGTTTTGATCAGTCTTTAGTTAATATATATATACACCATTTCTGTCACAAGTTTTATGAAATAAACTAACTACAACTGAAAGTGACATCTACAAGAGGCATCTTGTCCTACTTAGGAACATTATACTCATTACACAAATTAGTGATCATCTTATCACATTTACTTTATCATTATCAATATTATATTTTTGGTACATTATAGAATTCTCAGTATATAGTATTTCAACAAGTTTCCATTTCTTACTTCTTAGTCGATCGTGACAATAATGTATTGAGTGATCACAAGTTAGAAATTAGTAGTCTAGTCAATTAACATGTAAATAATATATACATTCTTTTGACTGAATATTATCAGCAACTATGAAATTTCTAATTAGGTCTTTTGTAATTTGTACAATGAAAAATTGTAAACTTTTCAGAAATTCACTTGAATAGTTTATGCGATTAATAAACATAATGATGTATTAAAACAAACAAAAATAGATAACTTGTCGAACTATCTAGATAACAACAATAGGTAACCTAAATGTTCAATTAGGTCTCTATATGGATATCGGATGAATGTTTAAAGTAAAAAAACATTAAGTTCATTAAGTTTCAATAATGTTCAATTAAAATGAAATACTTACTTTACATTTTAATATTACCTATAATCTATTTGTTTATTTATTTATTTTCTATAAAATAAGATAATATACTTTTTTTTTTTAAATCCCTTGTAACAAAATAATCTAGGGCATTTGATGCAATTGAAATACTCATTGTTTCGATGTAAACGTTTTAAGAAACGAAAAAAAAAAGAGGGATAAAGTATATCAGATCAACTTGAAATATCATGTTAAGGAAGTTTACATCACCGTATATCTCTCCCCCCTCCCTCCCTCCATTCCCCCCTCTCTCTCTCTCTCTCTCTCTCTATATATATATATATATATATATATATATATATATATATATAGTAACTGGGATGTCAACAGGCAAAATAAAAGAACATTTATTGACAGGATAATTCATAAATTCTATTATAGTGAAAATAAACAAATCATAATATTCTTTTGTATAACAATAAGGTACATATATATCTTAGTTAATCTATTCCTTTTACAATGACAAAATCAATATCATGGTTATTTATTCATTTCAGTATACATTTCAAGATATACTTCGTTTAACTTATAAGATTTCTGTCATACAATAGAAAACTATCTTACAAGGAGTTGTGTTTCTTTTTTATTTTTTACATTTCCTATCTGATAAAGAAAAACTCTATCTCTCGCTCTCTCCCTTATGCACACACGCACACACACGCACACTTATATATATCCTCATAGCAATAACTTTGAAAAAGATAATGTTTATAAAAGATTAGAATGTTTTTTTTTTGTTATTGAAGGGATGTACCGGAAATAGATTGAATACAAATATTATATTATTGCCTTCTTTTGGCAAGTAGATTAAGGTTAACTTGAGGTTGGGAAGAAGTTGTTATTATTATTATTATTTTGTGTGGATTTAATGACAGATAAAGGAAGTCATTTAGTATTAGTATTAGTATTAGTAGTAGTAGTAGTAGTGTGGTATGTGCTACTTATTTCGATAGACATTAGTAATATGTGTTATTAATCGAAATTAGAATGCCTGGCGGCAGAAGATTGAGAAAATTGAAGAGAAGAATACGAGGATAGAAAGTGGTTTATGTGGAAACGAAGGAATAACAAAGTCTGAGACGATTGATTGACATTTTGCAAATGAAGTATTATTTGTATGATTCTTAGATTTTGCCAAGATATTCTAAAATGTTGAATTGAAATTCCTTTGATTGTTCCCCATTTGTGTTCTTGTTCATTACAGTAGTTGTATCCATAGTATAGTTCAAGTTATGGTCTTCAAAAACACGAGTATTTTACTATAATCTACAAAGTTAATAAAGTATGAAAAACACGTAGTAGTTATACTCTATATGATGATAAGATTTCTTAAAAGGTTACAGTCTATCATTTTGAATACATTCATAATTATCAGAAGGCGTTTTGTGGAGATGTTAGATAATTTCAATAGTTGAAATCATGAGTCATTTGGAGTCAGACCACCATGGAAAACCTGGGAGCGCTGGATGGCCATTTCGTTCTACTGAGGGACTCCTCAGCAGCGCGCATCCACGATCCCACACCGTGAGATTCGAACCCAGGACCTATCGGTCTCACGCCCGAGCGTTTAACCATTAAACCACCAATGGAGTTCAACCAAGTCTTCTGTGAGATGTCAGCTCACTGAAAACAATGGTGTACGGCGGCGCAATTTCGTGGATTGGTTGAAGTTAGACATTAACACAGTTGGATGCCGGACGGCTCAGAGGTCTAATGGTTAAGCGCTCGCGAGTGATGAATTAGCTATCTAATGTAATCAGGTTTTTAGTGTCATCATAACTAAGGTCACTGCTTGACGAATACAATCTACATATCAGATGAATCTTCATAAAGTTCTAACATCAAAGGGTGAAGGACAGGAGGAACGATTTATGGGTTTTTGAGGATTAATGTTCCCGATATTTCAAATAGAAAAATACTAACTGGGGAATTATAAGCAAAGATAGATGGTGGCTAGCAGTGGAGCCCATGATCCGCGTTTCGTCCTATTTGGGACTCGTCAGGTGGATGTACTTTCAGTTCAAAGATGCGGGTTCACCCTAGACTCGAACTTAGTAACATTCGCTTCAAACACCATCACGTTATCCACTTAGCAGCTACAGAGTTCTGCTGACCATTAGCTTGTGCAATGGGATGAAATTTAAATTCATTTTGAATTGTTTGTTAGAATCTTCCTAGATTCCATTGCTAACCACCATCCATATTTGCTGATAATGCTTGTGAATTAAGACTATCCGCACAATATTCACCTATGCCGATAAGAGACTGACCAATTGCAGTCCTAAAAATCAGTGAAAAGATTCAAGTAAACAATACCAAGTGAATTTAACTGAAGAATTATTCGTCGACAAGCTGAAAATATTCTTTTAATCTACTACTAATCGTCAATCTTAAATCCTAATGCTAAAATATTTTTGTCGGGGGTGGTGGTGGTGGTTTCTATGTAACAAACTATTCATTTTTACCAGGTATATTCTGATTAACTGACAATTGGCTTTACTTTCTCATGGTGATTATAGAAGTCACTGAAGATTTGCAGTATCCTATATTCACTTTATAAGTTACTTCATGTCAACAATAATTTACTTTTAACAATATTAGATGTTAACAATTAGTTTAGTCTACGGAAATCATTGTCATATTTATATATACAGAAAGATAATTGATAAAACTTTTCTGTCATTAAAAAAGAAATGAAAACACATTGTTACTGTGATTTGTAAACTTCATAGTGGATGTTTACTTTGTATTGACAACAGAAATAAGATGACAACAATGAAAGATTTTAAGTTTTAATTAGTCTTTAGATATTTGTATCTATCTGTCATGAATACATTGAATACATTGTGTGTGTGTGTATTATTTATTAGATTCCTGATATTAGGATTTAATAGCTAAATGGATAATGTGATTGAGTTTGAAGTAAACGGTATTGAGTTTGAGTCTTACAGTGAATATCAACTCTGTGATGCAGGAATATCCGGCTGACGAGTCCTCCCCCCCAAAAAGGGCGAAACACGCATCTTGAATTCCACTGCTAGTCACTATTCATCTTTGCTTATAATTATTTCCGATATTTGTTGGGGAAACATTTTCTCTATTAATTATTATATAAATATAATGGATTTTAATAAAATAAATATTGAATTTAAATTTCAACCGCTAAAACCAGTAAGCCAGGGTAAATGCAGTCCAGCATGAAGCCAGGTGCATGCTTTATTATATATTTTTGGGTCACTTACGAAAACTTTGTTACGACTTTTATTTCCTGTAAATAGTCAAATTAGATCATCTTCTCAGCATCAATCGAGCGACAAAGCCACTACAATGACATCAATCCAACGACTTCACTAAACCATTCAATCAGTAGTAGCTGTTCTTAGTTGGTAGAGCAATTTGTCTGGTTAATTTTGATAACGAACGAGACTTTAACCTGCTAAATAGTAAACTGGTCCTCTGTACTCATTTAGGGCTCGGCTTCTATTACTGTGTGATCGTGACCCAGCGGGTGCGGTGCCATATTTTACTTCTTAGAGGGACAAGCGGCACACTTCAGTATATTATCTTAATATAAACATCATAGTTAATCAAAGTTCTGTCGAAATAAATAAAGTTTTATAAAGTAAAATCAATTTATGAACTTTTTAGAATTAAGTACAGCTTTCTGAACGTAATCTATAAGCTTATAGGTAACGTTATTAAAAAAAATATTCATATAGTTATCTAGTATAACTTAAAATGACTTAAAACAGTTGAATTCATAAGTCGATCTAAGCTAGATTACCACTAAAAACCTGGAAACACTAAATGACTGCTTTGTTCTAGTATAGGACTTCTCAGAAGTGAGCATTCACAATCCTGAATGCGGGACTCGAACTCAGGACATAATATGTTAAATAACACTTTATATATATCAAATGAATATTAATCAGTAGTTTATATTTTTTTTCTAAAATATTTACTATAATTTTTAGATATTCAAATGAATTTAGTAATACTACAAGACGAAGAAATGCTACAAAAGAAAGTACAACAACATTGAAAGCATGGTTACAAGAACATATTAAAAATCCTTATCCAACTAAAGGTGAAAAAATTATGTTAGCTATTATAACAAAAATGACTTTAACACAAGTTTCTACATGGTTTGCAAATGCAAGAAGACGTTTAAAAAAAGAAAATAAAATGACATGGACACCTAAACATAGAGGTGAAGAACAAAATGATGAAGATGATGATGATGATAATGATGATGATGATGATAATAATGATAATAATAATAATAATGATGATGATGATGACAATGATAATGATAATGATGATGATGATGTCGTTGAAGAGATGGACATTAGAAACAACAATATAGATAATAATAATAATAATAATAATAGTAATAAAGGACAACATAATGAAAGATCTAGATTAACAACTAATCAATGTATTTATAATGATCATAATATTGATGAAGATGATCTAATCACTGGATCTGATGATGATTTAAATATTACAGAAATATCAATAAATCAATTAAGAAATCATTCAACATTTAAAAATTCTCCAAATTATAATTATTATCAAAATTATTTATTGAATAAAAATGGAAAAATCAATAAATTTCCAATAAAATCAAATTTATTTAAAAATCAATTAGATATAAATAATGAATTAATTTATAAAAAAAAATATGAACAATTAAATCATTCAATATTTAATTCACCATCTTCGTTTTCCTCTTCAACATCTTCAACATCTTCTTCTACTACTACTACTACTACTACTGATGTAACATTCATGAATCAAATTCAACCAAATTTCAATGTATCATTTGATTTATTCATGAATGATCAATATGATAAAATGAATTGTACATTGAATTCATTGAATTCATTTCATAAACATCATGATATATTACAACAACAACAACCACCACCACCACCACAACAACAACAACCACCACCACAACAACAACATAATCATGAATATAATAAATTACAATTACCAACATCGTCATCGTCATCATCATCATCATCAGCATTGTCACAATTGAATTATTCTATTGAAAATCATTTAAATGAATTTCGTAATAAAATTGATAAGAATAATTCTATTGGATTATATTCAAATGAATCGAAATTAGTCAATTTAACTGAATGTAATATACCAAATATTATATCTCAATCAAGTAAGTTTAGTGGAAATTTTTTTATTTCATTGAATAGTTTCATAGATATCAACTGATTCAGTAGTCTAGAGGTTAAGTGTTTGAGTGTAAAACTGAAGGTTCTAAGTTTGAATCCTATGAGCAGGATCGTAGATGTACATTGGTAAGGAGTACCATATTAGAATGAAACAGCTGTCCAGTGTTTCTAGGTTTTTAATAGTGGTCTAATATCAATTAGTTTATGATTTCAATCAGAATAGTTACCTGTTAAAATGAAATGCGATAAGGATTAAATGATTTATTATCAGATTATAGTATATGCTATTGATATTGATAGTTGAAATGCTTGATGGTAGAAGGTTGAAAAAAAATCAAAGAAAAAAGAATAAAACTAAGGAGTGATTGGTGTGGAAACAAAGAAACAATAAATGAAGTATTTATTGTATGGTTCTTAGGTTTTACTAAGAGATTCTATAATTTTGTGTTCAAATACTTTTTAGTTGTCCCTACTAGTGTTCTCATTCACTTCAAGATGATATTAGATGAATGTCATGCGGGATTTAAAAGAAATGAACTGAAGTTGGAAAATATGAACTTATAAATGTAAACTTAGTATTCTATTATCTAAAAATTTGGCATAATACTTGAAATTTTTGAATTCGAACAACGTTGACGGTGTTTATACTAGAACAAAACACTAGTCTAATGTTCCCTGTTTCTTCATAATACCTCTACTGATATTCATTTTTGAGAAACATCACCTAGATTTAACTCATTAACAATTAGAAATATATATTTGAAGGTAATATTCCTAACGAATTGATGTCAAGTGAATAATCGTTAAAACTCAAGGAACGCCAAATAGATAATTTGTCTTAGTTTAGGACTGTCGAGCAATGTATACCCATTATTGCATTAAATATTGAAGTCAGGAGATTCGGCTTTCAAGGAAGACTATATATATATATATATATCCAGTCGTTTTCACATACAGTTTTAGTGAAGTAGCAGAAGACAAAACCTTTATGAGTATGGAAATAAAAAGAATTTTAAATCCGACTCGTAAAGGTTTCACTTGTCAATTAACGAAAATCACTTCAATGGTTGAATTGATGAGTCGATCAAAGCTAGAACATCATGGAAACCTAAAAGCACTGGATTGTCATTTCGTCCTAGTATGAGAATCTTCAGCAATGCGCAACCATTATCTCGCCTCGCGAGATTCGAACCCAAGACCTGTCGGTCTCGCGCTCGAACAATTAACCTCTAAACTACTAAGCTGACATCCAACCGTGTTAATGTTTAACTCCAACTAATCCACGAAAATCATTTTACTAAACTCAAAAAACTTTGATTAATACGAATGATCATAGGAAAAAATTTCATTTAATATACAACTAATTATCAATTTTCCATTGATAATTTTCGATAGATTAATTAGCATTTTTAACTGCTTTTGTACCAGGACAATTTAGACAAATACTGTTCCTTAGTTTTAACTATAAACTGATTTCAGTTAAACAAAGAATAAAAACCTAAAGGCATGGAATAAATATTCGGTCCTAGTATGGAACACTGCTACCCCTCCCGAGATTAAACTCAAAACCTTCAGATGTTGCTTAGAGTGGGTTAGTAATAAAAATTACTGTTAATTCTGGTATCATGTTTCTTTAATCAGTTGACAAATAAAGAAATCTGAGTACTACTCACCACTGTAATTGAAAATCGGTTAAAGAACTTCTGTAATGAGTTTTTTATGTTCTCTCAGAGAACCTCCATGAAACCGTTTTTAGATCAAAGCTATAAACCTTATCAACTGAAATAGTGTTCAATGTCATATACACCTAACTAGTGATTTAAGTGCTAACTAAACAGTTATGAAATTGATTAATGACTAAGAAATAATAACAATTTTATTCACTTGGTATTGTTTACTTGAACCTTTCCATTGATGCTTAAGTCTGCAATTCATCAGTCTCTTATTGGTATATGTGTACACTGTGCGTATTGCCTTAGTTCACAAGCATTATAAACGAATATGGATAGTGACTAGCGGTGTAATTCAGGATGCGCATTTCGTCCTATTTGAGACTCTTCAGATGGATGTACCTGCATCTCAGAGTTGATGTTCACTCTGGGACTCGAACTCAGTATCGTTCGCTTGTAGGCATTTATTGTTTCATTACTGTTGATATTCAGAACTAAGCATAGCTAGTTTCTTATGACATATTATCTTCTTAAGCCAACGACTTGATACATTGCCTATAATTACATGTTATGTTTTTGGATAATGACTAAAAGAGAAATCTAGGAAACTCGTACGTTTTACTATTTGAAATAGACTAGTACTAGGATCGAGTTCTAGTGTGAACATTAGTATGCGTGTTTGTAAAGATGATGAGTCTCAGTACTATTCAATACCCCAAAAATATGGTTTGGTTACATTTCTATTTAAGAATAATTTATTATTTAAATCAAGTTCCCGAATATAGTATATTCTATAATGCAAATGATTTACTTACGCCTGTTACTTCTCGTAAAGGAGCATAGGCCGCTCACCAGCATTCTCCATCCAATCCTGTCCCAAGCAATCCTTTCCGGCTCTTTCCAGTTCTTATTTATCCTTTTCATATCCGCTTCTATTTCCCGACGTAATGTGTTCTTTGGCCTTCCTCTTTTCTGCTTCCCTTCAGGATTCCAAAGTTAGGGCTTGTCTCTCGATGCAGTTTGATGATTTGCGTAATGTATGTCTTATCCATTTCCATCATCTTTTCCTAATTTCCTCTTCAGTTGGAAGCTGGTTTGTTCTCTCCCACAGAAGGCTGTTTCTGATGGTATCCGGTCAATGGATGTTGAGTATCATGCGTAGACAACTATTTATAAATACTTGTACCTTCTTGATGATGATTGTTGTAGTTTTTCAAGTTTCAGCTTCGTACAGTAGAACTTTCTTGACTTTGATATTGATTGACAATTATTTTGAGTTCTTCAACTGTAGGAATACTGTCCTTGCTTTGCCAATCCTCACGTTTACGTTTGCATCTAATCCTCCGCATGTAGCTCTCTCAGAGTTACTACCGGCTACAAGCTCAGATAAAAGAGGAGGATTGGGCATGGAGTTAACCACCCCATCCCATAGAAAACTAAGTCTCTAAAAAAAACGCTAACTAGAGAAAAAATAATACAAATGAATTTCCATAGAAAAGACATATTATGAGTAAAGTATAGGTAATATATATATATATATATATATATATATTGATTTTCTTTTTCACAGATTGGACAGATATGATACCAACATCATTACCTAACAATAAATATGATTCAATATCATTTGGACAACAATCATATCAGAATATTTCATTTCCATATTATATACAAGAAAATTTACATGTTTCACCTTATATACATGGATTTGATACATCAACTAAAGCATATTCATCATTTCATCCAATAACAACATCAACCAATAATTTGATAAATTCAAATAAAACAAATTTAAAATCTAATCATTTATCACCATCAACATTATCATCTTCTTCACCGTCAACATGTTCACCATTATCATCATCATCATCTTTAATAAGTACAACAACTACAACATTAACAATAACAACTACAATGAATTCAATGTATACAAATTTTCCTAATACAATGCATTTATTAACATCCAAACCGTTCCCCCTTAACAACAACAACAATAATAATAATAATAATAATTCACCATTAGTTAATAATATCAATACTATTAATAATCATGATAGAATATCATTGACCAATCTATTTAATCATAAAGAATTATTTTCACCTAGAATGTATTGTAATAATAATGATAACTATGAACAAATTACATCATCGAATTTATTAACTTCAAATGATTTATTAACAGGTACATTAAATAAAATTAATAATTTTCATTATGGTACTAATACGGACTTAATTACAGATAATAATAATAATGATCATGATCATGATCATCGTCATCATCATCATCATCATCATCATCATCAACAACAACAACAACAAAGATTACCTTTTATTTCAGAGGTCAATAATCATAATAGTACAACATCAATCACCATAGCATCTACTATGACATTGTCAACAATCAATTCATTATGGTCATCACAATTAAAACAATTAACATGTTTAGATGAAGGTCGATTAGATATGACTTCAGATCAGATAATAAGTAGTAGTAGTAGTAGTGGTGGTGGTGGTGTTATACCATTTCAACAGTTCATTAATTCTTCATTATCAATACCATTTACTACAACTGATAATAATAATAGTAATAATACAATTAATAATGGTTTCAATATTTCATCCAAATTACAATCGAATGAAACTATTACTACTACTACTACTACTACCATTACTACTGCTACTAATACTACCACTACTGATAATCATATTAGTAATATTTCAAGTCGACAATTTACTCAAGATGATATACAAACATTATCATCTACATTATGGTCAAATGAACGATTAAATAATAATACTTATAATACAGAATTAAATCATAATGCATTTTATCAACCAATCTATAACTCAATGCATACTATGCCTACAAGATAAATATTAATAGAGTGTATGACTTATTATTACATCTATTAATATATAATCATTACTACTACTACTACTACTACTACTACTACTACTACTACTACTACTACTACCACTACTACTACCACTACTACTACTACTACTACTACTAATACTACTAATACTAGTAATACTACTAATACTACTACTAATACTACTACTAATAGTAATAATAATAACAATCGTGATATAACCATAGTACTATGTAGACAAAAACAAAACAAAAATAAAAAACATGATACACTAATCAATAAATTATCAATTTTCTTTCTAAATAACAATTGTAATTGCACATTGTATTGTTATTTTTTTTTCTCTCGGTTCTCTTATTTTCTTTTTCTTTTTCTTCGTTTTTTTCTTCTTCTCCCTCAAAATGTATCTTTATTTTATTCCACTTTCTTATTTGTTTGGTTTTATTGAATGTAATCAATCAATAACTAGTGAAGTTTATTTAATCATGAAAATGAATATTGATTATTATTATGATGATGATGATAATTTATCTCTTGTACATAAAGTATTTTAACAGTGGTTATCAGAAATGAAATGAATAAAATAATTTCCAGATAAATAAATTGATTTTCTGATTTATATTTTAGATTAAAAGCAAAAGAAAAAAGAGAAGAGAAATTATTTGTTGATGATTTGATAGGTTTTGGGTTCGAATCTCTCGAGACGGGATCGTGGATATGAGCTGCTGAAGAGTCCAATGATAGGACGAAACGACCATTCAGTGCTTCCAGGTTCTTGATGGTGGTCTAGATTCAATTTGTTATATCCCAATAAGGACTCTAGGCTACCCGTACATGTTTTATGCGTCATTGATCCGATCGATAATTCGCTGCTCTCTGATTAGCGGTATCGTTGCGTTATATTAATAAACAGGGCACATAGGTTCACAAGTTATGACACAATTGACTTATAATCTCAATTATTGAAATTACTATAATATCCACAAAAATCTTTCTGATAGGATATAGTTGAATACGTTCAACATAAAGGTTATATTACTTATTTACTTACTTACGCCTATTACACCTTGTAGAGGAGCATAGATTTCCTACCACCATTCTCCATCCAACTTAGTCCTTGACAATCCTTTTCGGTTGTTTCCAGTTTCTAGTTGTCCTTTTCATGTCTGCTTCCAATTCTCGATGTAGTGTGCTCTTTGGCCTTCCATTTTTTCGTTTTCTTTCAGGATTCCAAGTTAGCACTTGCCTCATGATGAAGTTTGATGATTTCCGTAATGTATATATTATCCACTTTCAACGTAATCTGTGAATATTTTAATGGATATTAAGTATTGGTATTGGACTTGTTGGCTGAAAACGTTTAGTTAAGTAACGTGCCTTCATCCCAGTTCAATCTGTGCAAGGAGCTTCTCCTCTAGATAATCAGTTTTGTATCATCGATTCATCTATCTGTGTCCACGACTAAATATATTGTTTCTTCTACCGTAGTTATCTTGTTCTGTGTTTCTTTTGAGTACAAAATTAAAAGAATCATGATGTTATCATTGTTCGATTTCACTGTATTAATAAGTCTTAACAATAAAAATGTAACTATGATATCATTTATGTCCTCTCCAAGACTCAGATTTATACAGTCTCCAATCATGATTATAAACTAGTATGTCTTATATACAGTTAATTTTTGACAACAATGAATTATGCTAGGATATTGATGATTATATTACAGCCTAAATGGTCAGTTTTCTAGTGACCTTATTGTATTTATGAGTAAATATTCATCGGAAGAACTTTCAGAATTCCTATAGAAGTCAGATTTGATATAAATTGACAGAAAAATCAATTTAGTGAACTCTCTTAATTAACACATAAAGGAACACTTCTAACAGGCTGAATTTTTAAAGGACTTACTGGTTTTTAACTTCATAGATAATTTTGAATAATAGTTGCTATGGCGGAATGTGATTAAAGTTGACTATGTATTCATGGATTGAGTTATAACTGACTTGGATTCCCCTTCAGATAATCATAGGGAGTATTGCTTAGATAGAACATGTGTTTGGTTCATCGACACTTAATAAGATCAATAAAATTTGCTTCTCAAGGGTAAATAAATTAATAAATCCATATTGAAATTATTTAAAGCAACCGTTCACCTTTTACAATTTCTCAAATGAGGTACTTGAATAATTTTTTCTGGTTAGCGTTTTTCAGCGAGTTAGATTTCTACGGGATGGGGTCACTAACCCCATGCCCAACCCTCCTCCTTTATCCGGGCTTGGGACCGGTAGTAGCCCCCCGAAAGGGACTTCAGGCGGAGTTAAAACGAGGTACTTACTGAAGAAAATATTACAGAGTCTTTTGAATAGAAGGACTTTTTCAGATAACTTGATCTTTTATTCTTCAATATTTCTGCTGCAATTATCTTCTATAAACTCAATGTTGATGAGTACAATTTCATTCAGAGTTGTGTGTGTTTGGGTGGAGGGTACACTGTATTTTATGGAAGAAATATTAACCGAACACCATCATATAATTAAGAATGAAATTATTATTAAAATATGAATTTTAAACCGAAAGAATAAAACTGAGAATTTTATCAACTATGGAAATAATGCACTACTAAACACGGGAGGTACTTTATAATATTAGAATGCTGAGAGTTTTCATCATGGAATTATCGTTTGGAACTGAGTATCTACTTTTACACACCAAAAATTAATATCAAGAACAATCATCGAACCTTTTTCAACAAACTAACATTTATTGCTTAACCTTTATCCACTGTCTATCGTGGATAACTGTCTCATACCCAACGTGGTTGAAATTTACCGGTTATAGCTTCTCACTACAACGTTCACAAGTTGCGTCTTGAGGTTGGTCACTAGTGAGGACATGATTATTATTAACAAAATGAGATTTGTAGAGATTGTAGAATTTCCAAAGTTTAAATCATGAACTAGCACTGAAAATCTGGAAACAATCAATAAGGGTTGAGTAATATCAAGAATTTATTGAAAATAGACATGTACAATATTAGATGCCTGATCCATGGTCTAGAGATTAAGTGTTTGATATGGAGACCGAAGGTCCTTGGCCTGATTTCTCATGGCGGAGCGTGGAAATGAACTTCTGAAAAATCTCACACTAAGATGAAATAGTCATCCAATGCTTCTTGGTTTTAACTAAGGATATAGCTAAAATCAGTTCATAATTTAAACCATGAAAATTATACAATCTCTACAAATCATTCTATATTAAAACACATTACACGAAAAGCTTTAATGATAATGTACCAAACACATAGTTAAACACGCGTTGTAGATTGATATAAATGTATGTTATTTTTAAGAATATGGATATAAATCCACATGTATTTCTTTATTAACCATGTATATAACATTACCGACTAGTTATGGATATGATTCAAAAGAATGACATTCACTTCATGATGATTAAAAGGACTTATACTTGTATATGTGGTAGTATTATGCAAGAATAATGAATTTCAGTTTTAATTTAATTAAGGTATAACTTCCTGATTGACAGTATTTTATATGTATCAAAGTTGGTTTAATAATAATTTGTTCTCATGAAAGTAGTACAGATGACTAGCTGATAGAAGATTTTTTGACCGAAATAACTTGTAAATAAGTTGTTTTATGATAGTAACATCTTGCATTGTGAAGCTAGATGACAAGAGATTGAATGCGCCAGAGAACAGATGTTCCCTCTTTATTAAACGTCTACTCCACTGATGAGTGAGAAATAACACGAAACTTAGGTCTAGAGTTTCCTATCTACCACATCTGACAACTACCATACATTTCAACATAAGTTATGCTATTTGAAGTCATTTAGACTGGTTGACACATTAAAACATGACTAATAGAATTCGATCAACATTAAGTGACTAAACAAATGACACTGAATACTACATACTGATCAGTTAATTATAAATAACCTTTATTTAACTGAACTTAAAACTATGGAGAGAGTTTCAGCTTCAATCATTTTAACTGGAAAATCAGTAAAGTGAATAGATAATAATCAATAACTTGAAATCCTCTATAAAGATACAAACACAAGTATTCTAACATGAATGAGATCTTGACTTCTCATTAAACAACAAGAATGATTCTTAGTTACGTGTATGAGAAAAGTATATAGTTCTCAGTTTTACTCACATCTTTGTACATTATAATCGTTTATTTAAAGTTAGTTAAAATACATCTATAATTTGGACACTCGAATATTCTTACACAACTCTGAGAAGTCAAACTATTTTTTTCTGAGTACAGGGTGGTAAAGATTATTAAGTTTTTGATTGGGATCATGAATCAATTGTTGTTAGATCACCATTGAAAACCTAGAAGCACTGGACTGCTGTTGCATCCAATTGTGGGACTCCTCAGCAGCCGGTTCAGTAGTCTGGTGGTTAAGTGATTGTGCTCGAAACTGAAGGCCCTGGGTTCGAATCCCACAGCCGGGATCGTGTATGCGCACCATTGAGAAGTCCCATACTAGGATGAAACGGCCGTCCAGCGTTTCCAGGTTTTCAATGGTGGTCAACACATCAATAGGTTCATGATCTCAATCAATTCTTTTTCGCTCAGAAAATTAGAAATAAATGTTTCATTTGCAAAACTGTAATGAGAACTGTAAATGAGTTCTTACTACTTCCCTTGTTCCAACTATTTTCTTTCCTTTATTTATTCATATTGTCTAACTGGAATGCTAATGTTGACAAACTAAATGAAGACAATAAGTCATGACATATTTTTAGAATTCTCAAATAATATTGATTACTTTTTAATCAGGTTATTGTCTATCTAAACTCAGTAATTTACATTTGGGCAATTAAAGTGAAAAGTACTGAGTTTGAACTCCACCTGTAGCTCTTCCAGAGTTACTGCCGGTCCCAAGCCCGGATAAAGGAGGAGGGTTGGGCATGGGGTTAGCGTCCCCATCCCGTAGAAACCTAACTCGCTAAAAAAACGCTAACCAGAAAAAATAACTCAAACCATTTAAACTCTGCCCTGGGAGTTAGAGGTAATATGACGCTTCATGGTGAAG